GGCAGGATAAAAGGGGTCAAATGGGGGAAAAAATGAGGAACAGCTGTAATAATCTGAACAATAAAGATTTTTTTAAAAAGAGAGAGAACAAAAAACTGTAGAAAAAAATGGAGTACTCCAATTTGAACAACAAAGTGATGGTTGCAAAATAACATATTTGCCTAAAATATTGTCAATCAATGCTAACTTTGAATATTTATATAATCTATCTGGTGTAAAAATAAAAAACTGAGACAAAAACAAACATACATTGATTTGACAAAGTAACTATGAGATTGTATTTTGTTTCCAATTTTGATTGAATTTATTAAGGTGACATTAGTTGATAAAATTATATAGGTTTCAGGGATACTATTCTACAATACATAGTCTGTATACTGTAGTATATGCTCACCACCCAAAGTGAAGTCTCCTGCCATCACCATGTAATCCCCTTTTATCCTCTTCTACCTGCCCCTGATCCCCCATTCCCTCTGATAATCACCATGCTGTTGTTGCCTGTGTCTACAAGGTTTTTTGGGGTGTTTTTTTTTTTTTTGCTTAATCCCTTCACTTTTTCACCCAGCCCCCAAACCCCTTCTCTGTCTTCTGTATCTATGAATCTGTTTCTATTTTGTTTGTTAATTTTAATTCATTCATTAGATTCCAAATATATGTGAAATCATATGGTACTTATCTTCTCTGACTGGCTTATTTCACTTTGTCTAACACTCTCTAGGTCAATCCATGCTATCACAAAGAGTAAGATTTCCTCCTTTTTTTTACCGCTGAGAGCATTCCATTTTGTAAATGTACCACAGCTTTTTTTATCCACTCATCTACTGATGGGCACTTGGGCTGCTTCCAGATCTTGACTATTGTAAATAATGCTCCATTCTGAGATTGTGTTTTGAATGCAAATCCACAATCTCTTATACATAATTCTGAAATCCAAAAAGCTCTCAAACTCAGAAGCTATATAAGGTAGTGCCAAAGTTCATTTGGCAGCAAAACCTAATTTGAACTGTTTATTCTTCTAAGTATTAGTGTTCTTATGCTTTGGTGCATAAATACTAAAATGTTTGATAATGTGTTGCCTCAGGCCCTAATGGAGCTATAGTACAGCATGTCCCCCCAAAATGTATACACACTTTTAACAGATAATAGGTCAATTTTGAAAATGAAATCTATTTTAATAAACACTGCATTTATAATTATTCAAAGTGTGTATACATTTTTTGGGACACCCTATATATGTCAGTTACTCTATATTACCTTTCTGAAACACAAACAGTTGAAAATTCTGAAACACATTAGGCCAAAGAATTTCAAAAAGTGAGGACCTGTAGTTACAATAGCCATACAGGCAGAGTTCCATCTAAGCATGTAATACAGCAGAGCATTAAACTGAGTATACTGTGCATATCACACTTGGTTTTCAAATCAACTTATTAGATAAGCACTCCATAAAAGGAATTTAAAGTTTTATTATAAAACAAGATTCAAGTAAATTCCACTAAAATCTAAATGGGATAAAGGGAAAATCCTAGCATAAAGAATGAAAGGAGCCCTGGCTGGTTTGGCTCACTGGATAGAGCGTCAGCCTGGGGACTGAAGAGGCCAAGGGCATGTACCTGGGTTGCGGGCACATCCCCAGTAGGGGGTGTGCAGGAGGCAGCTGATCGATGCTTCTCTCTCATCGATGTTTCTAACTCTCTATCCCTCTCCCTTCCTCTTTAAAAAATCAATAAAATGTATTTTAAAAAAAAAGAATGAAAGGAAACTTGAAACATTCAACCTATGTTGAGAACACAGTTTTAAGTAAAATCTACTTTATAAAATTTATAAGATTAGAGGGGGGGAAGGAGGGGCTGAGGTGGAAAAGCATATAGTGGGGTTAAATGGTGATGGGAAAAAAGAAAACAAAAATATAAGATAATGAAAATTATTTTTATAAGTATTATTGGGGGGAGGTGAAGTATCATTGACCAGTTGACCGAAACCCTAATAGTCCTAGTGCACTATCTCATAAGGGTAGGGAAATCCATCTACTTTTTGGATTTCTTTCTTCCTTTAGCTTGTTAGTATTAAAGACAGAAACATTTGTTCATGTCATTAGAAAATAACTGGTAAGCATCTGCAAAGAGTTTCAATGAAGTAAATTTAATTTTTTCAGAAAATTGCATAGGACACAAAGTTACTCTGGCTAATTTAAAAAAATCCTATGCATGGTAAGACAGTTACCGATCACATTAATAAATACCTACTGAACTACTGGTGCCAGTCTGATTTTCCTTAATAAATGACTGCTAATTACTTCAGAGAAAAATCATTAAACATTGATAAAAAAATTTTGTTATTTACCAAAAAAACTTTGTTTAAAATACCTTCCAATGATGGCATAAAAATAAAAGGAGAAAGGCTTTCTAGTAAATCTGTAAAGAATTTTTCAATTATATTTTCCTAAACAGTAACCTTGCATTTGATTGGCTTCAAGAAAAGTTAAATAATGTAGTTATTCAAGAGGAAGTACAAATTACACATTTTTGAATTTATCTTTGCATACCTGAAGATTGACAAAATCCAGCATGTGAAGACAGGACTAAATTTTCAGTCACAGGCATAATTTTCTGCTCATCACTGCTGCCCTCGCCTACAGAATTCTGAGCATCATCTCCTATATCAGAAGAAGATGAGGAAATAATTTCAGCTTGCTTCCTTTTAGTGCTTGTTCTGAGGGAGTTTCTCATTTTCTCCTTGACATTGCCTGTCTTCTTTTTAATGGAAGTTCTTTGCTTCTTCAACTTTTTATTATCTTCAGAACTTTCCTCAGCATCTGAAGATGATGAGCCATTTTGTACTTCCTTGGGATTTCTCTTTGAATTTAAATTTCGTCTTTCCCTCAATTCTATTCTTTTCAATTTCTTATCAGAAGAATCATGACTTTCTTTCATGGAATATTTCTCAGTATCAGATGATGAAAAATCTTGTCTCTTCCTTGCTCTCTTTTCAGACAAATTGCACCTTTTCTTATCTCTTCTGAATCCTGCATTCCTACACCTTTTTTCTTCTGAAGAACCACAACTATCTCTTTTCCCTATTAACTTCTCAGCACTAACAGATAATTCATCCTTCTTTTTAGAAGTTTTACCTTTTATTTTTTTACTTTTCCTTTCCCCATCAGTTGTGTCATTCTTATTTTGTTTTATTCCTTCAGAAAAATGACAAATTTCTTCTCCCTCAGGTAATATCTCAGTGCCATCAGATGATGATTCATACTGTTGTTCCACCTTAATTACTTTTTTCTTCAAGTCTGTAGTTTTCTTTTCTTTTTCTTCAGTCCCCTTTTTGCTCACCTTTTTATCATCTTCAGAAGAGTCATCACTGTGCTCTGTCTTTGAGAACTTCTGAGCAATATCAGATAAGCTACCCTGGACTTTCTTACAGGTTTTAGTTTTCAGGAGCTTACACTTTGTTTTAGTTTCAGCAACCTTTTTGTCCTCTGGAGAACTACAACTCTCCTCTTTCCCAGAAGAAGGCTTATCAGAGGAAACACCTGGCTGCTGCTTCTTAGAGAGTCTACCTTTCAATTCCAAGATGGTTTTGTCATTATCAATTGTGCCTTCTGCTGAAGAAAAACTCTCTCTCTCTTGTTTCCTTTCAGCATCATCAGATGACCCTTCTTGTGCAGCCTTCAAACTTTGCTGCCCTTGATTATTCATTTCTTTTTTACTATGTTTTTCATCTTCCGAAGAATCATAATCTTTTTTATTTGGAACTCTGTTTTTGGATGTTCTAGCAGCTCCAATTTTACTCATGCTCTTTATCTCTTTTTCTAATTCTGAGTCATAATTGGAAGATTCAGACTGATTTTCCCGTTTCTTTTTAGAAATTATAGACCTTTTAGAAGATTTGCCTTTTTTAATATCAAAATCTGAGCCAGAAGTAGAACTTTTTCGTTTTCTTTTTCCTTTATCATCTTTCCCTGTTTGAGACTTTAAATCATACAAGGTCTTCTCATGATTTATATGAGTGTCATTAATGTCAGTATCTGAAGAACTATGATTCACTCTGGATACCTCTTTGAGGATTGTTAGCATTTCATCAGAATCTGAATTTTGACCCATAATCTCTGTCTGCCTAAGTTTAGACAATTTATTAGTTTTAGGATTATCTGTAACACTGTCAGAAGAATTCTCCTTATCTTTTTTTCTCATTGGACCTGACAGTTTTTGTTTATTCTTAACTGTTTCACTAATTTCTTCATCGGAATTAGAAATCGCAGGGTTGGTTTCTGGCTGTCGCCTCAAGGGTGTAGTCTTTACACGTGGGGATCTTCGAAGATCAGATTCTTCTGAAGGTAATAAAACTTCACATTCAAGCAAAAGTGCATCATCGTTTTTTTCCTGTCCAAGTCCACAGTTCTCTGGCTTGGGGCTCAGACCAGAACTTTTATAGCCATCTTTATCTTGTAGAACTTCCTGACAATCAGCACCTTTAACTGGGGAATTAGAAAGGGAAACAGGGGTAAGTTTAACAAATAATTCTTTTGTTACTTTAGCTGTAGTTTTTGATTTAATACCTCCTCTGTTGTCTTTTGAAGTAATATTTAATTTTACAGAAGAACTCTCTAGTTCTTGCTCAGTGCTACTGCTGCCATCTCCCTGGTGATCAGCTGAACTCTGAACTTCCATAGCAGTCTCAAGATTTTCAAAAATGTCTTCTGGAACTGAGGAAGGAACAGATACAATATCCATATCTAAGTCTTCAGAAGTGTTAGCAGGTTCATACTGAGGTTCTTCTTTTTTATCAGATTTCTCATGTTCACCACTGGTACTTTTATTTGCTCTTTGTTCCGCTACTGGAGTACTCTGATCCATGTGCTCATTGTCTACTTGCTTTTTTGACAGTTTGGCTTCTGATTTTGAAATATCCTTCCTTTCCAAAGCACAGGGTTTTTCTCCTTTTCGTGCTTTTGTTTCACACTTAGCATCTATAACTTTATGCTCTTTGGTATTTTTCTCTTTGTTTACAGCATCCAAACCTCGAATCTCTGTATTCAAATTTTCTTCTAATGCCAGATGAGCTTTCCTGATATCAGCCAACACAGATTTAAAGGCCTTAAGCTGACGTAACTTTGTAGCAGAATCAATTTCTAAATTATCTGTTGACTGCTTCAAAAACTTAACGTAACTAGAGTTCATGTTGGCTGTGGTCTCAATCAATTTTTTTGCCTTCTTAATCATCTCTTTGGGCACAATTAGTGCTGAATAAGAATAGGTTACAGAACCAGAACATGAATCACCTAATTTCTTTTCTTGTCCATTACAATTTGAACTATTTTTCTTTGGAGAAAATCTGGGCGTATGGTCACATACTTTATTATTCTTTTCATTGTCAACTTTTATCTTCTTCTTATTTTGTTGCAACAACTGTTCTAAATTTTCAAATACGCTGTTACATGCAGTAACCAAGTCCAACAAAGGCTCCGGGTGACAAATGTAGCAATACCATTGATTGTTTTCATCCATTATGGTAGACAGCTCTTTTCGGCCAAGGTTACGCAGAATACATTTCTTACAGAAGGCATTATGGCAAAAATCACAACAAATCAGGTTTCCACCTTCTGCACACCATCTGAAATTATTAAAAATTAAAATATTACTCCCAAATGAAACTCATTTTATATTATTAAAACAATTTAAGCCCAGCTGGTGTGGTTCAGTGATTGAGCATCGACCTGTGAACCAGGAGGTCACCATTTGATTCCTGGTGAGGGCACATGACCAGGTTTCAGGCTTAATCCCTGATGGGGGGCATGCGGGAGACAGCTGTTCAATGATTATCTCTCAGCATTAAAGTTTCTGTCTCTTCCCCTTCTCCCTCCCTATCTGAAATCAATAAAAATATATTTTAAAAATAAATAAAACCATTTAAATTTTCCTGACAGTAATTTTAATAGTAAAGCAATTGTTTAAACCTAAGGCTTTCTGGAATAGAACAATCGTCCATTAAACACATCAATAAAAATAATACAAAAAATGGATCTAGTAACAGATTATGTAAGAATTCCCCCTTCCAAAAGAGTAAACAACACTGAATTTTAGTTAATCTTGATATATTACCTACCTACATTGTTCATCCATTCCATCTGAGTCACGGCTAATATCATCACTCATGTAATATTTAAAGCAATTCTATTTAAAAAAAGAGAAAAATTTATTCAAAATTGGTAACATACATAAAGGGGAAAAAACTTTATTCTTAAGTCATTAATAAGTAAAGGGAATATGTGTGTATGTGTGTGTTTATTATAGACAATCAAAAACAACAACAACAACACTAAACTACTCAACACTAATACTTTCCAGACATAGGAAGAGCTCAAGAAAACAATTCTTTCAAATAGATGTCCATGTCATCAAGCACACTATCCCTTCTATAAATGTTTATAAAATATTTTACTAAAGCAAATTTCTGAACTCTTATGACTAGCTACTTAAGATCTACATTAAAATGTATTAAATGTCAAGGCTAAGCAGGGGGCTTTCTTCCTGCTGGATCAGTTTGCTCTATTCCATAAAGGCACCAGCACAGACACTGAGGAAAGGCTGCTGTTTCTCTTAGCTATATGCTTATGGCATTTGTTTCTTTATCCCTTAACATTTGGCAATCTGGGGAAGTTGGTTGAAGTGCTATGTGGAGCCCTACTCTGGAGCTGGAGAAAAGCACAGGTACAGCCAAAGGAATTTGTAATGTGTAAAGTTGGCTTCAGTGGGCCTGCCTGTCATGCCTTGCTTCCTCCTCTTAACTGGAACAGTTGTACAATAGATGATCTAATGTCATTGTCCCTTAGTTGACTTGTTTAAACAAGAATTCCCTGTTAAAGCAACAGCAATAACAATGAAACACTGCAACAGATATATGCCTGAGTCTTTCCTCCACTCTGGCAATACTCCAGATAAAAGAGGCAAATTATATAAATACTAGAAGCCCAGTGCAGGAAATTTGTGCATGGGTAGGGTCCCTAGGCCTGGCCAGCGATCAGGGCCTACCTGTGGGGTGACCAGCAGGGCAATTGGGGGGCTCCGGCTGGCACCTGCCTTGGCCAGCCTGGTGTCGCCCGCTTGCTGGCCCCACCCCCTGTCGCTGCTGCTGGTCGCCTCTCTCTGCGGGGCGACCTGCGAGGCGATCGGGGGAGCCCCCGCTGGCACCCACCTTGGTTAGCCTGGGGCCTGCGGGCTGGGGGCAGCTCCTGCGTTGAGCATATGCCCCCTGGTGGTCAGTGTGCGTCATAGTGACCGGCTGTTCTGCCAGTTGTTCCACCAGCTGTTTTACTGTTCGGTGGATTTGCATATTAGGCTTTTATTATATAGGATAACAGACTTACAGTGTGGACAAAGAGAAAAAAATATACTAGATGTTGAGAGATACTTTGGTTGTTTCCATGTCTTGGCCACCATGAATAATGCTAAAGCTGCAATGAACATAGGGGTGCATAAATCCTTGTGAAAAAATGTAAAATTTCTCCTGCAGATTCCCAGAAGAGTTGCTGAGTCATATGATAACTAAATTTTTCTTAATTTTTGAGGGACCTCCATACTGTTTTCCATAGTGGCTGTATCAGTTTACGTTCCCACCAGCAGTGAATGAGATTTCCTTTTCATCCATAGCCTCTCCAAAACTTACTATTAGTAATTTTTATAATAGCCATTCTAACACATGTGAGGTGGTATCTCAATAAAGCTGTGGTTTGCTCTTCTGATTTGCAATTTGATTTGTAGAATTAATAGAATGAATAAAAAACATGTCGTGCATGACTGGCATGGCTGAGTAGTTGAGCATCAACCTATGAACCATGAGGTCACGGTTGAATTCCTGGTCAGGGCACATGCCCAGGTTGCGGGCTCAATCCCCAGTGTGGGACATGCAAGAGGCAGCCAATCAATGATTCTCTCTCATCACTGATGTTTCTATCTCTCTCTCACTCTCCCTTACTCTCTGAAATCAATAAAAATATATCTTTAAAAAAAGATGCCATACATATATACAATGGGATACTATAAGATGAAATACTGCCATTTGCGAAAACATGGATGACTCTTGAGAATATCATGTTGAGCAAAATAAGTCAGACAAAAGTACAGAACCACGTGATTTCACTCATATGTGGGATATAAAAATGAAACTCAGACACAGACAATGTATAATGGTAAGGTAAGTAGGGTAATAAAAGGTAAAGGGTTCAAATATACAGTTATAGAATAAGATTTGACTTTGGGTGGTGGGCACATAATGCAATATACAGATTATGTATCACAGAATTGTATACTTGAAACCTATATAATTTTATTAACCAATGTAACCAAAAAAATTTTGATTTAAAAAATAAAATCTGGAGAAACTAAGATGGCGGCAGAGATAAACACCGGGAAATTAATGCCGCGCACAACAATTGATTAATACCTCAGAGAAACAATACGGACTTCATCCAGAACCACAGGAAGCCTGGCTGACTGTAAATTCTACAACTAGAAGGAAGGAAAGGCACACTGAGACCCAGAGAAGCTGCAGAAGAGAAGCGCAGAGGTACGGGGCTCGCGCGCGCGGAAAGGGGCTGGCACCCGAGGACGCGGCGGCCTTTTTGAATCCGGAGGGAGTCACAAGCTCCCGACGGCTCTGAACTCCGGTTCCGGGAAGCCTCTG